AAGCTTTGTTATTAGGATATATTTTAGTTTTCTATGATGAGTAATACATCATCCCTGACAAGCACACACTTACTATCTCATTTTCTGTGGATGAGGAGTCTAAGGAAGACATAACAGTCTTCTCCAAGGTTGTAGTCAAAGTATTGTTTTTAGGGCTGGAATCTCATCTGAGATTTGACTGAGGAAGGATCCACTTTAAAACGCACTCAGGTTGTTGGGATAATTCATTTCCTTGTTGATATAGGGATTCACAGCAGTTGACTTCTTCAAGACAAAGCAATGTTTTTGATACTTAAGAGGGGGTTTGTCTATAAAGCAAATCTGCTAGCAAGGTCTTCTATACCATACTCATGTGACTAACCTTTTTCATATAACTTACACAATTGTATTAATATTGAATCATCCTTGTCCACAGTCTACTGGTTAGAAGCAATTTTTAGATTCAACACATCCTCAAAAGGAGGGATTTACACAATGCATGAAGAACATGAAATGGAAATTGTCGCTCCCCCTCTTCATGGAGGAACGACACTAAGCCCTGCCTAGGCTTCATATCCGAGTCACGGCACCATTATGTCGCTCCCCTTCTTCGTGGAGGAGCAACACAGGACCCTGCGCTGTTCTTTCGTCTGCTCGGCCCTCCCCGGGTTTGCTGCTGGTTCTTCCCGGGTTGGCTACTATCCCTTCCACCTCCGTGGAAGGGCAGTTCCCCCTGGCCGCATTCCCCACTTCCGCAGGGGAGCGGCACACCGCCGGCCGGCTTTCTCGGGGGCTGCACGGGTTCCCTTAGATGTTCCCCATAGATGTTCCTGGTGCATGCCGTCTCTCTCCTCCTTTATAGTCCTCCTCCACCAATCCTAACTCGGCTGCCCACACGCCGAGTACGCTGCTCTCCAATCAGGAGCAAGTCCTACAGTTAATTGGTTGAACTGGAGGCAGCTGTGCGGAAGCTGTTTACTTCTCTCCCAGTGCCATATTGTGGGAGAGCAGATGCATAGAATAAGTCTTAATTCCAGTAACTCAGTCTAGTCCGGTTTGCTCCCCACAGAAATCATGTGGGTTACTTTAATCTCTGTCCACTATGAAATGAACAAACTTTTAAGATTTGATATCTTCTTAGTGATTGATATCCTTGCTTTTATATGATTTTCCTTACTTTGATATTAATATAGCCAATCACTCCAGCATTTTTTGTTAATGTTGCATGGTTACTTTCAACCTATTTACTTTTATCTATGTTTCTCCTACTTAAAGTAGGTTTCTTGTGGAAAACGTGTAGTTGAATTCTTATTAGTAAATCCAATCTAAAAATCTCTGACTTTGGATTATTTACGTTTGTCGCTCCCCCTCTTCGCGGAGGAACGACACAGGACCCTGCGCTGTTCTTTCATCTGCTCGGCCCTCCCCGGGTTTGCTGCTGGTTCTTCCCGGGTTGGCTACTATCCCTTCCACCTCCGTGGAAGGGCAGTTCCCCCTGGCCACATTCCCCACTTCCGCAGGGGAGCGGCACACCACCGGCCGGCTCTCTGGGGGGCTGCACAGGTGTTCCCTTAGATGTTCCCCTTAGATGTTCCTGGTGCATGCCGTCTCTCTCCTCCTTTATAGTCCTCCTCCGCCAATCCTAACTCGGCTGCCCACACGCCGAGTACGCTGCTCTCCTCCAATCAATAGCAAGTCCTACAGTTTATTAGTTGAACTGGAGGCAGCTGTGCGGAAGCTGTTTACTTCTCTCCCAGCGCCACATTGTGGGAGAGCAGATGCATAGAATAAGTCTTAATTCCAGTAACTCAGTCTAGTCCGGTTGCTCCCCACAACGTTCACTATGGTTTTTGCTATTGTTGGATTTGTGTCTAATACTTTGCTATTTGTTCTCTGCTTATTACCTATGTTCTCCCATCCTGCCCTCCTGGGCCATGTGAATGCTTTTGAGTATTTCATCTATTTTTTTGGCTATATTTATATTATTACTTAAAGTGGTTGCTCTAGAAATTACAGTATACATAACTAACCTTTTTCAGTCTATTTAGAATTAGTATTTTTATTTCTTTAATTAGTAGATTTGCAGCCCTATTCTCTGCCTTTTGTTAGAGCCATCACAGGGACTGTGTTTACATATAGAAAAACCCCAATGAACAGTGTGATATGTGCTTTTATTTTGAAATACTTTCCATTTTTTATCTGGATACTTATCATTCCTGTTGAAGTTTTTCCTGAAATTCAGTTTTCCTGTGGAATCACTTTCCTGCAACCCAAAGAACTTCTGAGTCTGTTCAGTTTCAGATATTTTAGTTATGCTTTTGACATTTGTTTTTAGTTTTTGTCTTTGAAAACGTATCTTTTAATTCAATAGTTTTATGACTGCCTCATGAAGCATACATGCTTTAAGCCTTTTAGTTCAACTGTGTTATCTAGTATTTGCATTTTTCCCCTTGAGAATTGGTCACATTTCTCAGGTTTTTTTGTGTATTGACAAATTCCTGGCTTTTTCTGTAAGTAATTTTGGGTTGCATATTGAGCATTATGTCATAAGCTTCTGGGTTGTGATTTTTTTTTTTAAACCAGGAAATCCTCCTGATGAGACTGGGCCTATTGTGTCTCACTTTCTGTAGGATATTGTCCCAGCATGATTTCAAAGCCTGTTATGCTGCTTTGTGTCTGTGTACCTCAGAGATTATCAGCCTGGACTGGGCAGTGGTTTACATTTTACTTCAGTTCTCAATAATTCTGCTATCTGTTTTGTATCTGTTCTTTGCAAGGATAGCTCAGAGGCCAATCTGGAACCCGTGCCACCTTCATACACATAATGAAAGGATCCCCCTTTCTAGATCTTTCCTCTCCAGGATCTCCCCAACGTCCTCTAGCTGCCAAGGGGTCCTTTTCACTTGATTTAGCTAGAAAGATGCAGTTTAGAGTTGTCGCCACCTGTGTTGTCATGCACTTCGGGGGGATGAGGGCTTCCAGAAGTTATGTAAAAGAACCACAAAAAAGTAATGCCAACTCTCCCCTCCTCTGAGTGCTCATTCTGGGGTGTGCTTGGCCAGAAGAGATGAATTTTCCTGGGCGACTTAGGTGCACATGTTGCTACTGCTGCAGAGCAGCACCCTGACCACCTAAAAGGCAGGGCCAGGAAAGAAAAACTAGACAACAGAAAGGAAGGACCAAAGATGTGCTGTTGAGGGAAACACCATTTCAGTCATAGGATTAACAAGTGACAAAAACAGCTGGACTTGGAAAGGCACACGGAAAAGGACTTCAAATAATCAGTAACCCCTGTAGAGTAAAGGCAGAAAAATGGAGAGGAAGCTTGGAAGAATGAATGAGAGGGGAAACAGGACTTTTAAGCAAACTTTGGAAGTCTGGAATTGTTCCAGGAATTTGGTTGTGGTGCAATTGGACTACTGGAGCAACTTAGCTTTATTTGCCTCAGCCGGCAAACGGCAGTTGCAAAGCCTTTCAGGGTTCAAATCTGTTTATAATAAAACACTAAGTAAAAGAAAATGAAATTTTATTTGATTTTGCTAACCCATATGAACAGCTTTCTCTTTGAACACCAGAAAGCAAGAGCAATGATGGAACCAGAATAGTTAAGATATTTCAATTTATTTTTTTATTTTCAACTTTTATTTAAAAAATATAAATTTCCAAAGTACAACTTTTGAATTATAGCAGCTTTTCCCCCTCTAACCTCCCTCCCACCCACAACCATCCCATCTCCCACTCCCTCTCCCATCCCATTCTTCATGATTCATTTTCAATTATTTTATATACAGAAGATCAACTTAGTATATACTAAGTAAAGATTTCAACAGACTGCACCCACAAAGGCACACAACGTATAGAGTACTGCTTGAGCAGTAGTTTTACCATTAATTCTCATAGTACAACATGTCAAGGGCAGAGGTCCTACATGGGGAGCAGGTGTACAATGACTCCTGTTGTTGATTTAACAATTGACATTCTTATTTATGACGTCAGTAATCACCCAAGGCTCTTGTCATGAGCTGCCAAGGCTATGGAAGCCTCTTGAGTTCGCCAACTCTGATCTTATTTAGACAAGGTCATAGTCAAAGTGGAAGTTCTCTCCTCCCTTCAGAGAAAGGTACCTTCTTTGATGGCCCGTTCTTTCCACTGGGATCTCATTCACAGAGATCTTTCATTTAGGTTATTTTTTTTTTTTCCCACAATGTTTTGGCTTTCCATGTCTGCAAAACTCTCATGGGCTTTTTAGCCAGATTCGAATGCCTTAAGGGCTGATTCTGAGGCCAGAGCACTGTTTAGGGCATCTGCCATTCTATGAGTCTGCAGTGTATCCTGCTTCCCATGTAGGATCATTCTCTCCTTTTTAATTCTATCAATTATTTGCAGACACTGGTCTTATTTATGTAATCCCTTTGACACTTAATCCTATCTTTTTGATCAATTATGAACTTAAACTGATCACTTTAACAAGTAAGATGGCATTGGTACATTCCACCTTGATGAGATTGAATTGGAATCCCCTGGTACGTTTCTAGCTCTACCATTAGGGGCAAGTCTGAGAGAGCATGTGCCAAACTGTACGTCTCCTCCCTCTCTATTCCCACTCTTATATTCAACAGGGATCACTTTTCAGTTAAATTTAAATGACTAAGATAATTGTGTGTTAATTACAGAGTTCAACCAATGGTATTAAGTAGAACAATTTATTTTTCTTAATTTTAGTAATCAGCAGTTTAAACTAAAAGTCACTTCAAAACGTAGTATAGTACATAAGTGATGTTAAATTAATGGAAAGAAAAAAGATTACCTAGAGAAAAAATTTATTAGGAATCAAGTTACAGGTTTGGGAGAAAATAAAAATTAAAAAGCACTTGAATATTCGGTATTTCACTAACATTTACTAAACATACTACCAATGTTCCAGGCATAAGCAGGACAATCAACACCTGTTGAAAATAAGCAATCACCTTTTTTCCTGATACTGACTCTTTAATTAAATTTTTCCCATTCATAATTTCTAGGCCAAGAACCCAATGTAGAGGGAAGAATTGAGAAGCTGAAGAAAATTCCACACAATGAATGAAAGAGAATATGCAACCTACCTTCATGTATCCTGGTTAATTCCTATTTTCAAAAGGAAGATTTCACTTTTAAGGAAAATCTGTTTTCCTGAGCTTTACCACCAAATCATTCACTGTAGCATACAATTTTATCATATCAGAATGAAACCAGTTCACTGGAAAACAACAGAATGGCTGTGGGACTAACTCGGAGATACATGTGCTGCCATGCACTGATATAAGCTAAAAGATATACTACATTCTAAGTGGACTTTTTATTTTCTTAGGTTTCAACTAAATGTATTTCCTCTATATAATTCCCACAGTAGATTCTTTAGTCCTCCTAAATCCTACCAATTCCCAAGAAATCTCACTAGGTTTTACAGAAATCTAACTTGACAAATTATTAAGTTAAAAGCCAGAGACACAAAATGTACTAGAAGTTTTCCAACGGAAATTCTCTATGCCACATTTTGATGAAATAAATGAAATTTACATATTTTGTTTTTTCCTAAAGCCATCTTTTTTGCTGGTTCAAAATCAACTTAAACTTCCTTGCAAGGATGGTAAAAAGCTATATCATTATCTTTTTTCACAAGTATGATAAAGAATGAGTGTTATAATAATTAACCTGAGTTCCCTGAAAATACTTACCCTGGGGCAAGTGCTTGGCCTACCATTTATAATTTTTTTTTTTATTTTTTCATTCAACAGCTGTATTTTTTTTTCTTTTTTTCCCCTAGAGAAACCTTTTATTTAAGGAATACAAAATTCATGCATTTCATAAGTACAACTTTAGGAATATAGAGATTGTTCCCATGATACTCTCCCTCCCACCCACACTCCCGTCTCTCTTCCACTTCCCTCTCCCATTCCCAGTCCCATTCTCCACTAAGATCCATTTTCATTCAACTTTATACACAGAAGATCAACTCTATACTAAGAGTTCAACAATTTGCACAAAAAAAGTAAAACATAACAAACAAACAAAAAAAACAAAATAAAGAAAAAAACTGTTCCTCAGCAGTCGAGACAAGGACTGTTCAAAATCATTTCACCTTGAAGTTAATTTCACTTCGTTTTTTTAGAAACTTAATTAACTTTAAAGAAGAACTCAAGAATGATACATCAATACATCTTTTGCAGGCACTTAAACATAATTATTATACAACTCTGAGGTCAGAGGTCCTGCATGGAAGTTAGCACACAGTGACTCTTGTTAAGTTAACAATTAACTCTTATATATGATGTCAGTGATCACACGAGGCTCTTGACATGAGCTGCCTAGGCATGAATCCACAAACTCTGTCAGTATTTAGACAAGGCCATATGCAACGTGGAAGTTCTCTCCTCCCTTCAGAGAAAAATATCTCCTTCTTTGGTGACCACTTCTTTCCATCGGGGTCTAACCCACAGGGTCCTTCATGTAGGACACTTTGCCACAGTGTCTTGGCTTTTCATGCCTGAAATACTCTCATGGGCTTTTCAGCCAGACCAGAATGCCTTAAGGGCTGATTCTGAGGTGAGAGTGCTATTTAAAGTGATTGGCATTCCATGAGTCTGCTGTGTGGATTGCTTCCCATGTTGGACCATTAACTTTTTTTTTTTTTTTTATCTTTTATTTAATGAATATAAATTTCCAAAGTACGACTCATGGGTTACAATGGCTTCCCCCCCCCCATACCGTCCCTCCCACCCACAACCCTCCCCTTTCCCACTCCCTCTCCCCTTCCATTCACATCAAGATTCATTTTCGATTATCTTAATATACAGAAGATTAGCTTAGTATACCTTAAGTAAGGATTTCAACAGTTTGCTCCCACACAGAAACATAAAGTGAAAAATAATAGATGATTTTTTTTAAATGATGATGAAATCAGATCAGACCTATTGTCATGTTTAATCCCAGTGAGAGTCAAGTTGGGAATTGATAATTTCTTTTTTTTTTTTTTTTTAGACAGAAGATCAGTTTAGTGTACATTAAGTAAAGATTTCAATCGTTTGCACCCCCATAGA